TATATATATATATATATATATATATATATACCCTAAGGAAAATCTGATAACAAATGAAATGATCTAAGTCCCAAGAATAATGCATATAACCACAATTGAAATACATACCTCATCAAAGAGACGAAAATTTTGACGTGAACGGAGTAGAGAATATGGGAAAATTTCAGGTGTTATACATACATTTTATTATATAGGAGGCTAAGAAAAATGAAAGTTTGGGTTGACGAGTTTGGCCGTTTGGGAGTTTCTAGTTTCGAGTAAGCAATCTAGATTTTAAATATACTAGAAGGGTACTTGTGCAATGCATCGAGACATATTTTGATTTCAGTGTTTCGTTTTATTTCTTTTTTATGTCGATATAATACGGTTTTATGTGGTTTTGAGAAAACGATAATGTTTTTATTTTTGAATAAAATATAAATATTAAAATATTAAAAAATTTGACAAAAAATATCTTGATATCAGTATCAAATTAATCTTTTTAAAAGTTCTTGTGTTTTGATGTAATTTTCTTAATTCAAAATTTTAATTATAATTTAATTTAGGTTTAGTAACAAAGAAATTTAATTTAGGTTTAATAATATAATTTTTTTATAAAGATAATAATTAAGTATTTTGTTATAACTCAATGGTTATCTTAATTATATTCTAGATTTTTTATATTTAATATGAGATGTTTATCCAATATTTGATTATGTTTATCTGTAGTTACATGAATTCAAATATAGAGCTTTAATAAGTTGTACTTATATACAAATTTACTTGTAATCTTAAATTTTAAGTAATATGCATCAGTAAACAGTACTTTGTGCATAAAAAATGGTTTTTAAGAGTTTTTGTCAAATGCCTTATAATATAATATAGATAAGTAATATGCATTAATAAACAGTAATTCATGCATAAAAATTGGTTTTCAAGAGTTTTTGTCAAATGCCATATAATATAACTAGAAGGGTACTCGCGCACTACAGAGAAATACATCTTGATTTTAATATTTCATTTTATTTTTTATCTCAGTCGATGTTATAGTATGGTCTTATGTGATTTTGAAAAAACGATGATGTTTTTATTTTTTGAATAAAATATAAATTTGAAGATATCATAAAATTTTGACAAAAATATATCGATATTAATATCAAATTAACTATTTAAAATTTCTATTTTTTGTGTAATTTTTTAATTCAATTTTTTCATTATAATTTAATTTAGGTTCAATAACAAAGTAATTTATATTTGGTTTAATAATATAATTTTCTTATAAAGATAATAATTAATTATTTTATTAGAACTTGATAATTATCCTAATTATATTTTAGATTTTTTATATTTTAAAATAAGATATTTATCCTCTATTTGATTATGTTTATCTACAGTTAGTTATATGAATTTAAAAATAAAGCTTTAATAAGTTACACTTATACATAATTACTTGTAATCTTGAATTTTAAGTAATACAATACTTTATACATAAAAAAATAGATTTTAAAATTTTTTATCAAATACTTTATAATATAATATAGATATAGATTACCTTAAATAAGATTTTAATTAATAAATCTATTTTTTCTTATGAATTTAAAACCACCAATTTTTTACACCCCCGCACAAAACAGCCGTGAACTCCGTCTCCTTCATCGATCCCCCATCTCCTCTCGATCGGTGCCCCTCCTCGTAGCTCCAGCGAAAATCTCCCTCCCTTCTGGGATTTACTTTGCACCGTCAATTTACGAACTTGAAAATGATTTTGCGTTACAAATGTTAGATAGGGTTGCTGGCACGCTCCTATTCATAATCACAGCAGTGTACGTGTTAGAAACTGGAATGGCATTGTCCAATGTTAAATAGGGTTTCTGGTGAGTTCCCGTCATTCGTTCAATTCGTTTAGAGCATTATAATCACAGAATTGTGTTGGTTCTTGCTGTGTAGTTATATTCACTAAGGTTGTTAGTGGTTATCCTTTGGATAAATACTTCGATTTTTTACAATGTCTGTGAACAAATGTTCAATACAATGTTGTGTTTTCTGATGCTAGAGCTGATAACAATTGTAATTGTACGCCATTGGTACTAGTCTGTGCTAGGGTTTTTGTTTAGATGGCGTTTAGAGGAAGGGGACGTGGGCGAGGTGGTTTTGGTTTTGGTGTTGGTCGGTTTGCTAAAGAAGAGAAGTACGAACTGTTTCCTGTAAGTAAAGTTTTGTGTTATTTTTTTTTGTTTATTTGCTTGTTGCAAGGAATTCTTTTTGATGAACGATATTTTACATTTGCTATCAAGACAATGAAAGATATGCACAACAAAATGGCCTCTTAGCTCCCAAGTCCCATCTACACTGGTACTTGACCGGTAACACTTGTCTTCTTTGTGGATACAATGAAAGACTTACCATTATAGGGGACAGTGTGCACCGTTCGACCATCAACCGTGTTTCCCATCTGAAAACCCACAAGAATGTTTAAGTGACTCCTTCCATTAATATATTTGTTCCCAAAACTTGTTTTTCACCCAAAGAACTACCGCCCTTTGCATATGAAACACCAATGGTATGTTTCTTTAATACTTCTTTTGCTATTTCATCCTGCAAGTAATGCTGCACAATGATAACAAGCCTGCTTGTCTATCCCTGTCTGGTAATATTTGACATGTCGGTATAAGCTTTGGAGAGGTTCTAGGGATTTCATGATCTTCTATGCTTTGGTGTTTGTATTCATAAAATCTTTATATTTTTTCATTGCAGGAAATCAAAGAACTCCCTGATGTCAACCTTAAACAAAAAGAAGAAGAATTCAGGACTCTAGTATCATGTGGTAACGATTTGCAAAAGTTTTGGATATCATCACCTTATCACTTGGAGGAAGTCAGTCAGGATGCTGAAAGTAAGTATTTCATCGTCTGAATCATTTTGCATATGAAAAAGACTAATGTAGAGTCCATTATGGGAAGTTGATGGTATTTATATCTAGGTTTAGTTAATTCTGTTTCGTTTTGATAAAAAGATGATATTTTTTTCCCTTTCTTCAGACTACATGCCTGGATTTTATCTTTTTCACTTTCAAATCTTCATAGACATCCTTAACTTACAGAAACCATAGGTAATGTGTGGTCAATATTAAGCATTTAAGCCAATATTTCTCCCCATCATACCCCTCTATCATTTCATTAATACTCTATTATTTCATCTACAATATTCATTATTTAGAATTTTCCTCCACAACCCTCTATTACCTGTGCACACACCTTTTCATCGTGCACAAGCTGGGGGTCTTCACAGAAACAGCCTCTCGATCCTGGTGGTTGAAGTTAAGGCCTGCTACATCTTACCCCTCCTAGACCATAATTTCGAGTGGATTATGCTGGGTTCATTTGGTTTGGTTTATCTACAACCCTCTATTTAATTTATGTTAGGTTAAATATTCTTTATTGAATAATTCATAAATTGATAGTCTTTTGACATTAAGAATTTTCAGTAAGGACATTTATCAAACTGTCATTTTTCATTCAATATTTAATCCAGACAAAAAGCTTAAAATATTCTCTCGTTTAGTCTGTTCATTCAACACACAAAACGAACAACAATTGCTCATTTACCACTTACTTCAGACTGATAAGACTGGGCATAATGAGAAAAAAGTCCCCAAGTGGGGTTATTCTTTTGAGCATTGAAAGATTTTTGTCTATCTTAGTGTCGTGAGTTTCGCGACATAAGATTCCCGTCAATTTGTGTGTACTTCCTATTTCATCTACAATAATAATTGTGGAATTTAGTTTGACGTATGATTATATGTTTACTTTTGTTACTGCTGTTGATACATTTTATTTATTTGTTGCCTTGTAATGGCATCCTTCGCTCTCGTTGCATCATAGATGAGGACTCACATTCTGTTGTGGTGCTTCAAATTTCATCTGTTCATTAGATTTCAACTTTTCTTCTTCCATGTTTTTTACGAGGCTTTCTTGGTTTTGACGTATTTTTACATGGTAATTTTGGTGGCAGGAAGTGGAGGTATTATAAGAAGGCCCCCACTTTCAGACTATATGAAGATGACTGATGACTATGTTCCTGCAGAACTAGGTAAAACATTGAGATTTGAAGTTTCTTTCCTATTTTATGGTTCATTAAATATTATGATTAATGTTAACCATGTATTGTTTGATATTCTTTACCTTAATCTATTTAATTCCACTTACATACTTGGTTGGTTTTTCAATCAGTTGCGAGAAATGTGAGGCAGAGCAAGAAGGTCCGATGGGATCCACAGTCAGGTTTGATGAGCATCTGAAATTAATTTGTTTGCCTCTTATAGGGTATAGCATCTGTAGTTTGATAAAAGTCATGTCCATACAATTTGTCAAGGATCGTTAATACCGAATATGTTTGCCCCTGCTCATTTCTATGTCTAACAATCAATTCCAATCACCCCATAGCTGACTTGCATCTAGCATATCCTTTGCTGGGTTCATATGTGATTGTTGCCCGTTGACTGCAGTTCTTGTATCAATGTATACTTCAAGAAGTTTTGGAAACTGGCTACTGTAATAGCTCTCGAATCCTGTGGGAACTGGCGCTAACATGTTCCGGAGTTCTTTTGGGAGTTCCCTGGAGCGATTCAACTTGTTTCTTATGTGACAAAATTAAGTAATTAACTCATAATGCTCTGAATGGCATTTGAAATGTGATCATAGATTCATATAAACAGTTAACAGAAGTATTTTGTTGCTGAGCACACATATCATACAAGTTGAAGACGCTCTTCTTTTGTTGTTCGTTGTCCACACAGGGTTCTGGTCTTCTTACTACATACTACAGAGATAGAGCGGGCATTAGATAGATGTCAGTCGCCCTCTTCTTGCTTTAACTTCTAGACATTCCAGTATGTAGTCATCGTCTTACGTGTATCTTTGTCCTTGACCAATGTTGCAAACCTTTGGGAAAAAACTAGCTCTACAGCTGGTTGATTTTGCAAAATCTAATACCAGCCGTCTTCTCTTAATCCTTTCTCTCTTACTTTTGGATTAAAAGTCCAGAAGCTTACATTTTTGTTTCTGTTCAAGGACCAGAATTTCAAACTTCACTAATCTGCATAAACCAAACGAAACGTACCAGTAAATTCCATAAGGAGTAGGGTCTGGGGAGGGTGAGATATACGCAGATCTTTCCTCTATCCAAAATGGTAGAGAGCTTGTTTCTGTTAAAGAGCTTGTTTCTGTTAAAGACCTCCGTCTTCACTCATGTGCGTATGGATGCTATTTTGCTGTCTTAGAAGTTCTTTGTATTTTGTGAGATATGCTATTTTCCTGTCTTAGACGTTCTTCTTATTTTGTGGGATTCTTTGTCCGTCCTATTTTAGTGTCTTTGCAAAAATAAATGCATAGTTGGATTTAGAGTACTTAGATTCCAGTAGACTGAAACAAACTTGCAGCACATGATGTGTGTTTTAAATTAATGTAATATTTTTTTGCGCAGACCTACAAAGATTGGATCTGTTTGAGAAGCTGGACCGGGGGCCTCAGGTAATTTTCTTTTATCATTTCCAAAATCTGAAGAGTTCCTTTAAACAAAGCATGGTGTTATCTGGTTCTTGTGTTCCCTAGGGTCCAGATGATGGTGATAAGGAGAAAAAAGAAGATGAAGATGAGGATGAAGACAATGAAAATGTTGAAGATGAAGAAGAGGACAGCGGTGACGACTATGAACAGGTATACAATACTCACCTAACCATGTTCTCTTTAAGTATACAATATTTATATATGGGCAAATGAACACTCCACGCCTTTGGTGAGGTTGGAACGCTTGACCTCTAGGAATGTTGGGTTACCGGATACTGTTAGGCCAAAGCCCTTTTGGTCACCTAACCATGTTTAATGGCTTGTTTTTCTAAATTGAGTCTCTAGCGGCATTGGTTGAATATGTGTATTTATGGTAAATACATGAACTGTGCAGAACATTGATTTTGATGATGATGAAGATGATTTCAACATGCCGGATGATGTCGGTGGTGGTATGCCATCTCTAATTCAAACTTGTAGTTTACCAAGAGATTTTCGGCATATTTTGTACTAACTTTTGTTATCATCTGATGTTGCAGATGAGGGTTTTTACTAGCTCATCAGACTCTTATTCAATACGTGCCCACTTATATGTTGATCTGCTGCGGTTTAGTTAATGTAGTAAATTTTTTTTGCAAAGGTAAAGCTATTTACTATGTACTATTTACATCAAATTTTGCACTATTTTGATGCAAGAAATGGTAGAGATGGTCTAAGGTTGATGTGACAATATTGATGTAATTCTTACTAATAGGACTATAGGATATACTTTGATCTGTTTTTCTTTTTTTAATTTGAAATATCATCTTTCCAAAGCTATATATAAAGATTTATAGTTTGAAAAGTCAGTCGTTGTTGGGTTGTTTGAATTTTTTTTTTCTTTAAGCCCTCTCTGAGTTAAGTTGTTTGTCTAAGAGACTCACGGGTTTGATGGGAGGCAAAGAGAGAGGGATAGTTTATTTGTGAGATTTCTGGTATTAATTTGTTTGAGGTGGCTTAAGGGGACAAGTGAGGAGTTCTAGTTTATTCCCTACAGCCATTTTGGCTTAATGGCTTAACAATTAAGACAGAGAGAAACACTTTTGTGTGGCTTAGCGAATAAGTCGTCCAAATCATTAAGCTCATGAAAATGTAAGTAAACAGTCTTAAGGGGTTGTTCGGTTCGTTTTCTATAAAGTCTTGTATGAATAAAGATGTTTGTTTGATGTATAATAAATCGTTGTTTGGTTATGTTGTATTAAGTATCAAAATTGACTATTTTTCTCGTACGTTTGTAATTTTTGTTTGATTGAAATAATAGTTTGATAAACTTCTAATTGATCCTTCAACAACATTGAAAAACTTCCCATTAAACCTTTTTACATTTGATTAATAAAATATGAATAATAAACAGTTTTTGTATATGTAATTCTTATAATTATTACAAAAATTATAATTCGAAAATTTTGAAAACATTGTTTTTGCCTCCTTTGACGACAAGGATGCGAGTTCTAAAAGAAAAAGAATCTATTCGTTTTCTTTTGTTTACGATTTTTTCCTTGGTTTGCCATACCCAAGACTCAAGTACCATTTTTCCGAATCGAACCGATACCGGACCGAAACCGAATTGCATGCATGTAATCGGTTCGGTTATCAATTCCAATTTACAACAAATTCGGGATTTGGTTTTTTTGGTTCTCGGTACCAAGAATTTCCTGAAAAAACCGAATCGAACCGGAATTTCAATGGACACATCACAATTGAAATTTCATCTCTATCTTCTCCTAAACTAATCCATATATTCTACATAGCTATTATTTTGATCACCGTCAGAAAAATTGGCTCCTCCGTGGATGAAACTCAACTAAGTTTTTATATACAACAAGGTTTAGATTATATTTTTCAATCATAAACTAATTTTCATTTGAGTTAATTATTGGTTAATATTATAATAATCTTAATATTAATTATAGGTTTCATGTGGTAGTTGACAGTGATTCAGATTTGGTACTTTTGATTGTAGAACTTTTACGATTGGTTTTGATACAAATTTAAAATATTATGTTTCTTAACTCACTTTCATTTTTTGGTTCTAAGACCATCCACATAAGGCTTGCAAAAGCCTTTCAAAAGGAACTGCAAATGGCCACCTCACTAAAGTCTTGTCTGACACTTGCATATTTTGCAATTGTTGTAGACCCCAACAAACTTTTTTAGTACATAAAATTAATTTTTCATATATATATATATATATTCAAATAAAAACCACCCAATTTATACAAACCGTAAAAACCACATTCAACCAATCATAATTTTTCATTTTGTTCATTTTTTTGTAATTATGAGAGGTTGATTAACCATTTTTATTGTGGAGTGTGTTAATCATGGATATTATCATCTTCATTATTTTAATTTTAGATAAATACATGAAATAGTTTCATTAAATTCATCAAAAAAAAATATTATATGAAACAATTTCACAAGATTAAACAATTTCATGAAAAAAATTCATAAGATTAAATAATGAAATCGACGTATGAGGGTGGTTTGTACAGTTTGTATAAATGAGGGTGATTTTCATTTGATCGTTCATCTATATATATATATATATATATATATATATATATATATATATATATATATATATATACTAGTTGTGTACTCGTGCAATGCGACGGGTTATAAATTTTATATAAATGTAAGCGAGAATATCAATTGACGATTACAATAGATAAACACATGATTGTCATAGAAAAACCAAGCCAAAAGGAAAACGTTTTTTCTTTCAGTTTGAATTTGGATATGTTATTTTGAACGAATACATACATATTTTTAACAAAAAAACCTTTTATAGTTGGCATGTTAACCAACAAAACTCGTCTTAAGTCAATTAGTTATCCAAATTTAAAACATCGACCACCAATATGAGATCGTCTATTAATGTTTATAGGTTGGAAACAACTACTGGGATAAGTATACACATATAATTCATTTGCAAAGTTGTACTAAACATTAATTTCAAACTTAACGTTCATCGAATAATACATGAATTGTTTCATTGGTTTGCCAACTTGTGTCGATTTTTAATTTGATTTTTAAATAGTTTGTTTTGTCATTCAATCTTAATTCTCATACGAAGTATTGATTGTTTTGTTTGATTTATTAACTTCTAGTTTTATACCCATGCGATATGATGGGACACGTCCAGTGCCATTGAAACACAATAGTTACCAATACTTGCACAACAGGGACGGACCCAGAATTTTTTTCAAACGGTGGCAACATTTGACCATAAGAAAAAATATAGGGAAATTTTTCCAAACGGTGGCACCGTTTAATTATAAGAAACAAATATATGATTTTTTTTTCAAACGGTAGCACCAGTTAACTAAGAAAATGATGCTAACAGGATTCGAACTTGAGCCTGGGGTGGAATAAAAGTTTTGCAAACCAACTCTACCAAATAAAACTTATTCTCATTATAGTTTCAAAATACATACGTTGGCACACAACAAATTAATACGGTTGCACCGTTCACGAACCTAAATTTTTTACCCTTCGATGAAGAAATAATACTGTGGCATGTGGCACCTACACCACATAGCTGGATCCGTCCCTGTTTTCCAGGCATGTTAGGAAGTATTGATTGCATGCATTGGGAGTGAAAAAATTGTCCCGTTGCATGGCACAGACAATATGTTAGAAGGGGTCATAAAACTCCAACTATTATGTTAGAAGCAGTTGCTTCACAAGATTTGTGGATGTGACATGTTTTTTTTTGGGCTTCCAGGTACATTAAATGACATCAATGTGTTACATCATTCTCCTATCTTCCACGAGGTCTTAGAAGCAAAGCACTAGAAGTTAATTTCTTTGTTAATGGTAACAACTATAATTTATGATACTACCTTACAAATGGAATCTATCCTAACTAGGCTACGTTTGTGAAGTCCATCCCATTACCCCAAAGTCAAAAACATCAACTATTTGCAAAAAAAAAAAAAAAAAAAAAAAAACAAGAATCAACTAGGAAAGATGTAGAAAGACGTTTGGGGCATTACAATCATGATTTGCTATAGTTAAAGGGCTATCACGCATATGGTTCAAGGAAATAATCAGATAAATACTAAAAGCTTGCATAATAATGCACAACACGATTGTGGAAGATAAATGTGACTCGTATATTCGTCAATTTGATTTCATAGATGATGCTAATTTTAGTATATCTATGCCTCAAGTTTGTCGAAATCATCTTCCTGAGTATGAAAATTATCTTCGGAGTCATGCAAGGATACGTAACAGGGGTCACAACAATCAACTACAAGCGGACTTGGTCGAAGAGATTTGGAGCTGATTTGAAGGAGGAGAAAACAATGATTAATGTAATCTCTTTTTTTCTATATGTAATCTTTTTAATTCAATAAAAGTTGTGTTTTGATATAATTTAATAAAGTATATATATTAAATTAAAACAATGAATTATAAAATAAATAAAATGATTATAATATACTAGAAGAGTACTCGCGCAATGCAGTGAGAAACATCTCGATTTTAATGTTCTATTTTATTATTTATTTATGTCAATGTTATAATACGATTTTATGTGTTTTTAAGAAAGCAATAATGATTTTATTTTTGAATAAAATACAAATTTGAAAATATCATAAATATTTGAAAAAAAAATACCAATGTTAATATCAAATCAACTATTTAAAAGTTCTTATTTTTATGTAATTTCTTTAATTTATTTTG